AGATTTCATGGGCATCGACCACCAGTAAAGCAAAAGTAGAAAAAGGGAGGAAAATAATGAAAAAGGAAAGATGTCTGGAAATGAAGAAAAGCCGAGGAAGAAGTGGAAAGCATGGCACACCCATACCCACTATCATTAATGAATATTTTATTAAGTTATCTTCTGCAAACTGGAGTAATTATTGTATAGTTATACTGATGTGTAAAGAAGACAAAAAAAAAAGTACATCCATTACTCGAAAATTATTTGGCAGCCTACCGCTATTATCACCAACCAGGTGATAAAAAGTACATCCAGTACTCCAAAATTATTCGACAGCCTGCTGCTATTATCACCAACTAGGTGATAAAAAGTACATCCAACAATCCAAATTTATTCGGCAGCCTGCCGCTATTATCACCAACCAGGTGATCAAAAGTACGTCTAATACTCCAAAATTATTCGGCAGCCTGCCGCTATTATCACTAACTAGGTTATCAAAAGTACGTCCAGTAGTCCAAAAAAAATAAAAAATAAATAAAAATCATACATGAGCATCAATTATGACAATCACCATCATACATGAGCATCACTCATGTCAATCATACATAAACATTCATAAGCACCACTCAAGTCAACATTCATGAGCATCACTCATGTCAATCATACATAAACATTCATAAGCACCACTCAAGTCAAGATTCATGAGCATCACTCATGTCAATCAACATAAACATTCATGAGCATCACTCATGTCAATCAGCTTTGAAAGCTTCATTTACAGAGCTCCAGCTTCAAAAGCTTCATATACAGAGCTCCAGCTTCAAAGCTTCACTTTAAAAGCTTCACCTACAAAGCTTCAGTGCATGGTATACAAAGACCGCCTCCAAACAACCGCCACTTCGGCCCATACATGGATTGAATTTAAAGTCTCCAGCCAACAGCCTCAATTGACTAAAGACTTGGGAGACTGCACTATGTACCAATATATTGGGCTTCCATAACTGGGCCTCATGAAAAATACATGGGGGACTATAGCCCATTATTTATGTACTGAGGAGCGAACCCTTATTCTATAAAAGGGACTCCCTCACTTTCATTAGAGAGCACCCATTATTCATGTATTGAGGAGCGAACCCTTATTCTATAAAAGGGACTCCCTCACCATCATTAGAGAGCATCGCTGCCAGCTGAGCAACCGCCTCGCCGCGAGTATCACTCATAGCCCATCATTTATGTATTGAGGAGCGAGCTCTTATTCTATGAAATGGACTCCCTCACCTTCAACGCCAAAAGCCAAGCCAACTAAGGCAACATAAGCCACAAGTAGAGCAGCCTCACAACATGTGCTATTTCTAGTTGAGCATCATTTTAGATTGGGCACCGCCTTATATCGAGTATCAGTTCTAGACGATATCTAGGTACTTCGGCCCACACATGGACTGAATTTCAAGTCTCCAGCCAAAAGACTCTTTTGACTAAAGACTTGGGGGACTACTGTTTGTACCATACTTAGGGCCTCCATATTTAGACCTCGTATAAATACTCGGGGGACTCAATTGTAATTATGTAATAAATGAAGGGGCAAATATGTAATAAGTAAGGAGCCCTTAGTCTATAAAAGGGACTCCTCACCCTTACAATCCTCAAGCCTCACTCTCCTCATTAAGGAGGCCAAATCTTAGGCCATGGGAAGAGAGCACACAGAAAATAGGCTAGAGAGCACACTGCCTCTAGCCTTCTTGTATATTCACCATTCAGAGTGAAACAATATCAACATCAGTGTGGACGTAGCCCGAACATTAGGGTGAACCATGATACATCTTGTGTTCTTTACTTTCTTGCAGATTCACGGTCGGATTTACGTTGTTCCAAGACCCCTTCGGTTTTGTGCATCAACAAATGTCATGACAGTAATATCTTAACCTTATAGCAGCATTCATCACAATTATACCACAATAATGGATACTTGGCAATATAAGCGTAAAAGTGAAGTAAATACACATTTATGGAAACTATAATTATGTATAGGTATAAAAACAAACTGCCCACTCACTAGTGCATCGCTGGGTCGTAGCCCCCGAGGTTAACTTGGCCTCGAACGTCCTCGGGATACGTTTCCTTTATATGTGAAATAACTAAAATAGAATTAATTAAAGCACATATACGGAAACCTAAATAAAACCCCCATAGTTTGCTCAAACTTAGGGTTTAAATATACCATCGTGACTTACTCGACGTCACGAACATCCCCAAATTTTTTAAATAATTTTTGGACGGCTCACGCGCCCCCACACGCTGGCAATGGCACTGCCAAACACACCCCTACGCGTAGGTTAGTGCCGTCAGTTAGCCTGACGCCGTCAGGAATATTCCACTGAATATTCCATTAAAAGCTAACATAAGTTAACGGTGTTACCTGACGCCGTCGGGAATATTTTGTCAACTCTGATGGAATATTCTGTCTCCTTCTCCAATTCTCCTCGCCATCGCCGCCATCCACCGCCGTCCACCTCTGTCAACTCTAATGGAATATTCTGAAAAATTTTCAAACTCACTATTCTCATTCATTTCTCAACGATTTTTTATGTACTTTATATGGATTTGAAGCTCGTGAAGAGTAGAATGGCGTTATACCTTTTTGGAGTCCAAAAAGTGTATGGATGTCGTCGGAAAAAGCCACGAAAATTCTGGCCAAAAGTGAACTCTTCGAAACTCAATCGTTTCACTTCCAAATTTCTCCCAAATTATTATAGGAGCCTCAAGGAGTTGCGAAGAAGCCTCCCCAAGCTTCAAAACTTCCTAACTCGCTCGAAAACACGTCGAACTTAGTTTGCCCGAGTTCGACGTTGAAAACTCATCCATTCTAGGTTTCAAGAACATGATTATGTTCATGAGGACGAGATGAACATGAAAATGAGATTCTTGGGTTCGATCCGCAAGCTTTGAAGCTCGTTTGAGGGTTTGCAGAGAAGAAGAGAGTATACAGGAGAGAGAGAAGAGAGAGAGGGAGCTCCTTTTCCCTTTTTCTGATTAGGGGACATAAATGAGGGAATGGATGAGATTGGTGAGAAAGTGAAATAATGGAGGAGGGTGCACAGGATGGGCTAAATAAAAGCTAGGGATAGGGTTTTGGATTTTGTACAGAAAAGAGTATCGAAAATCTATCCGGAATAGTGTTTTCACACTGATAAAGTTTACATACACTCGCAACAACATGTACAATTTAAATGCGATAACGAGAAATAAAATTAAAGCGATATGAATACGTCCACGTCACTTGCCAATAAGGGCATAACCGTCAATACACATACTAGGGGATAAATTACATAGGAAAATTAGGGATGGTCGTCACAAAAATCATCCATAAAAACCCGTTGGGTTCTCTAATACTATATTTAGATGAAGAAATTTAAAATTACTATGGAATTTTAAAATGACGGCATTTTATTTTCCATAATTTATGAATTTTCTTGTTTGGTTAACCTAAAAGAACAATGAAATTAAATACAAAATTTGTTATTTTTAAACTCTCAATCATAAAAATTGGGAATGACACCTATTTACATAAAATTTAAACTTGGGAATTGAGGTCTCAAATTCCAAGTTTTTTTTTTCCACCTAGAAATTCTATATTTCTATGTTGATGAATCCAAACAAGGGAATTGATGCATGTCAATTTATAACTTATGACTTTTATCTAAATTCTAAGTTTATTTTCCTCATTCATATAGTGTAAGAGCATGTCTTCTTAGACAACCTTTTCATTTGGACCTACTCGTGCAACTTTGTATTTTCTTTTGTCATGATGCATTGTTGAAAGGTGATCTGAACTATTGAATTACTTGGTCACCTTTTAAAGACCATATATGTAAAAAAAAAATTAATTAAATAAGAGAGTTTTTAGTGATTGAACAATTATTCAATAAATAGGTGCATCATGTCAATTAAACATTGAAATTGTGACAATATTAATCAGATGGTTTTAATAATATTTGACTTGGTTCGTTTCTTGTAGAGTTGACCTTTATAAAGTGACCTAGAGAATACACAAGTCAAATCATCAATTATAAGATCGTCAAAATAGATGAGAAATTAAAAGGAAGATCCAACCACTTAGTGCTACGGCCTAGTAGTATTCATTTTCACTTGTAAGTGAGAGGTTTTAGGTTCGATTCTCACCAAAGATGAATTTGAACCACATTTTTTCTAGCCCATTGTGAGGCTAAGCCCACCTCCCTCTTTAATGTAGATATTATCGTTTGTTAATAAAAAAAAACGGGGGAAGAAGATCCAAACTAGAAGATTGCTAGCATACCATTTATTTGCTTTGGTTTTTCGTATTTTTGTGCATGAAACTGTTGCAACGTATTTATAGAGGTTTTGGTTTTGGCTAAAGAAAAGTAATTTTGTGCATCAAACTGTTGCAACATGGGCCAACACATCCCCCCAAAACAATGCATACAAATCCAACGGGCACAATCGGAAAAGTATCTCTACTTTTGTTACATGACAAATAAAGTTCTTTCTATTGCCTTTTTTAAAAAAAAAAACAATATTTATTTACACTGAAAGGGAGGAGGGTGGGTTCTCATAATGAACTTAAACCTCTCACTTACAAGTGAAGATGAACACCGCTAAACCGTAGTACCAAGTGACATTTATATTACCCTTTAAACATAAGCCTCTATTTTTCTTTCTTCAAAAGAAATTACAACTGATAGTAAAACACGGTTATGCATAAGCCTCTATTTTGACAAAGTTATATATTCTTATTCTCCCATGAATGCGAGGAAGTTTGCTTCTTTAACCAAACAACTTCCTCTACCAAGTAATCCTCTGAATTTGTCTTCCTAATAATTCCTTTCTTAAGGTTTGAGAACCAATAGGACGATGAAAAATCCAAGCCGAGGAACATAATTACGCTAAAAGACTGTAATTAAGTTAAAAATTAAGAATATTCCGTAGAGATTATCAGGGTTAGCCCAAGGGATATAGTTGAGTGAGAAAATGCGTTAGGATTAAGTTAGGTTAAAAGTTCAATTCTCTTCCATTATAACAAAATATAACAATATGAATGTGGCTCCGAACCAAGTAATAATGCATAAACTTACATTATTCACAGAGAATTTAATCTTCTATGATTTCAATTATTGTCTCCCACTTGATTGAAATATTATATTATTGTCGCGTTTTAAATAAAAATATATATGTTCCCATGAGAAGATGAATGTAGTCGCTCAATGGGATGATGATATCTTGAAAGTGAATGATTTGTTAAGCCATGCCTTCCAGCTACTCACTGATCCCTTTGGAGCTGTTATCTCCGCCTTTCTTTCTGCAATATTATTCTGCACTTGCCTCTGCTGCTTGGACAGCACAAAGTTTCCTTCCCCCACGAGATCCTATGGTTTCCCAGGGACTTAAAGCTACAAGTTGATTCTAATTAGCTCCAGTTAACAACAAAAACAAAGTGGAACTCATTGAAGAAATTCATTATTTCTCAACAAAAACCACAGTTTAATACTTAGAAATTACTTCTATTATTCCTTTTAATGAGGATTTCTCTAAATGCATGAAACCGCATTTTATTATGTGTATAACCCTAGTTAAATTGCGGTTTTATGCATTTACATCCAATGACAAACCACTTTCAAATTGATAACAATGAAATAAAAATAAGTAGAAATGGGAATGCTAGCTTTGCCGCTGCAGCTTCACGAAGTCGAAAAAGACATATCAATATAAATCACCAGAATTAGAACTCATCATCATAAGACAAACATCCAAATTGACACTTGAAAATGAAAATATTGTTGGCAGTTTGATTTGATATGTGTTTCTGAGAGCATACCATCAGATCATGCATAAGTGCAGTGTAGAAGGAAATCCTTGACATTGGAACCAAGAACACGTAGCCGGCCTTCGCTGGCGTGGGAATTGAAAGCAGTGTCGATCACTCGAGCTACAAGATCATCCTCCCTTACCACTAACCTTATCGGTCCTGCACTTCCAAGAACATTAACTGTGATAAAAAAGAAAACCTGTTCGTCTTCAAGGTATGAGCAGCATCAGTACTGGTCTTCTTATGCTTCTGTAAATTAATTCTCTCCAAAACCTTCATCTTCAGCATTCTTTGTTACCCTTTTTTTGCCTTCTCCTTTTCGCTGTACGAGTTTTTTTAGACAAACCCAAGTAAGCATAACAAAACGAAACACGAAAAATGAATCTCGGGCGAAAGAAAGAGATTTGGTGTTCAGGGGTGAAGGCCAAGGCAGCGGTAGTACCAAGCTTGTCTGCAAGAATCAAAGGAGGAGGACAGCGCGCGAAGGGCATATGCCCAAAAGTCCTCTGAGAAAGGAAAGGAAGGAAGTACATGAAGAAACCAGAAGTCTCCACGATTCAAGACTCAAAGACTACAAGAAGAGGGAAAGAAATCTAAGGTGTTGTCTGGAAAGAAGAATATCTTCAGCAGACATGAAAAGCTAGCATCGTACAAAACATATGCCTACAACTTCCGTTTATGTTGTTAAACCAGTGTACGAAAAAGGAACCAGATCCTCTGCTCGGATTTATGCACATACGACACTTACTGCGGATTCGTAGCAACATCGTATATGTGTTCAAAGGCAAATATATTTTCGCACTGTGACAGATAGTACAACAATTTTAAGATGTTATAGTAATCGATAATAAATTTTAGTTCCTGGGCCTTGGTTACATAAATTTTGTGTTTCACAAATACTGGAGGCAGACACCAGGGAGAGATCTGGTACTGCATGTCGTGATTCTTAAAGGCAAACAGAGGCCCAATTCTACTCCATAAGGAAAGTTTGGTTAAATTTGAAAACGGATTTCTGCACATTTTTTTCACCTACAGACGGTAGAGCTCATCCGATTTTTTTTTAATTTCTAATATTTCTCAACAATAGATCTTAAAAATCAAAGTTGTACCCGTTCCCCCCTGTTACCTTCACTTCATAGCCTGATTAATGCGCTTTTCAAAGCGCACTTCTAAGTCCCTTCGTCAAGCTAGAGTTTGTTTCTCGGGATGGTCTGGGATCAGCGCAGGCTGCGAAGTCAAAGTAGTTGTGAGGCACCGAAGGTGTCCATGTGGAAAGCCATCGCCATTGTATAATACTTCCTAACTAGAAACCAATAAAAATGTCTAACGTCGAAATCATACATTGTGTAGAGACAGAAACTATCCCACATCTTCCTTCCTAATATCTACTTATTTATTACAATTTTGAGAAAGAAAAAAAAAAAGTGCTCCTTAATTTTGAAAGTGATTTTTGCACATGTAACATCCCACATCGTCCAGGGGAGTGGATCCTGTAAGCCTTATATGTATATTCTCATCTCTACCAGCACGAGGCCTTTTGGGAGCTAACTGGCTTCGGGTTCCTTAGGAACTCCGATGTTAAGCGAGAAAGGGGTCAGAGCATTCCTAAGATGGGTGACTCATTGGGAAGTTATGCTCGTGTGAGTTCCTAGAAACAAAACCGTGAGGGCATGATCGGGGCCCAAAACGGACAATATCGTGCTACGACGGAGTCGAGCCCGGGATATAGTGGGGGCCAGGGCTGGGATGTGTCAATTTGGTATCAGAGCCAATCCTTGGCCGGAAGTGTGCCGACGAGAACGTCGGGCCCCTAAGGGGGGTGGATTGTAACATCCCACATAGCCCAGGAGAGTGGATCATATATATGTTCCTATCTCCTCACTGGCTTCGGGTTCCGTAGGAGCTCCGAAGTTAAGCGAGAAAGGGGCCAGAGCATTCTGAGGATGGGTGATCCACTGTGAAGTTTTACTCTTGTGAGTTCCCAGAAACAAAACCGTGAGGGCGTGGTCGAGCCCTAAAGCGGACAATATCGTGCTACGGCGGAGTCAAGCCCGGGATGTGGTGGGGGCCCGGGCCGGGATGTGTCAGCACATGTCTTCTTTTCGCGTGCATACTCTAGAATGCATTTGGTCATTAAATTAAAGAAATCAAATCAAATTCTAAAAACATAAATAAATAGATATATGGAATTTGACGTGGAGTGGACCTTACAACCAGTCCTCAGTTTTAGCAAAAAATGGTGATGCCTTTGGAAAATGTTTTGTACGCATGATCTATGAGGTACAAATGTGACCTAGACATAATGGTCAACCTTATTATAAGCATTGCACCTACTGTTCAATGCTTGGTCACCAAAATTTAGCATAATCCAAAACAACTAAAGGCTTAAGTTAAATTACAAATCTTAATATGACAACCACCAAAAATTGAGATCTAGCCATCATAGAATCCGTTGTATCTAACCATGAAGAAATTGTAAAAGAACAGACGAATCTGAAGAAGATTCAATCGCAAACAATTCAACCTCACAAAATAACAAATAAGAGTCGTGATTTGGTATAATACAGGAAGCACACGAGCAAATCACATCAAAGTTTTTCATAATAAATTTGAGTCCTCGTTCGTGTGAGTCTATGACTAGAAATTAGAAAGAAAATGAGAGTGGTATTCCTTTCCTACTCTATTTTGGTATGGAACGATTTTAGAATTCCTATCTTACTTTTTGGAACAATTTTGGTATCCACAAACCACACAAAGGAGTTTCCTTTCCTATGTTGTCAGCTACCCATTTTTAAATAAAATTGAAAAAGGAGATAAGCGCACTGTCATCCCGACTAACACCGTCCAAATCGAAGCCACCACCAATTTCATCTTGTCCTCACGAGTCCAAGACAAGTAGCCTTGTCAGGAATCTCATCCTGGTTGTTGTTATCGAAACTCAAGTAACTGCAAGTTTTCCCTACATTTTCTAGCAACACGACAAACAATTGAGGCTCGAGACCACCACCACTGGACTCGCATTGACAATGGGAACAAAGCCCAATCATTAAATGCTGGTGTGTTTTTGGATGAATTTTTCGAGATTTGCTCATTGTATGTACACTACATGCACATGATATGCTCACAGATTTGAGCCAACCCAAAAACTTAGAAGTTAAATTAGGGTTTGTGTTTCATGTTGGGGCCTATAGGTTGTGGAATAAATTTCAAGTTTTGACATGCTACAAAACTGGGATGGAACAATTTCTGGTTCAAGCGTCCAATTGTAGAAATTTGTGAAATTTTTTCCATAATATGCATGTGGTGTGCATATACGGTGCATGGCTACATCTTATTATGAGAAGTGGGAATGTTCACTAGTTATGATGCACGTATGTTGTGCCCGGAATTTAGCGAGTATGAGCTTCAACGGAAAAAACAATTAACAAAAAGCTTAGAGGACATTAAGGTTCATGCGTGTCCATGAAGCAACAACGAGTATTATGTTTTCCACGTGCACGGTTAAATGGTGATTGATATAAGTAACAAGAATTTTCAAACCACCACTATAACTTTATATACGTAACAATTATATTTTAATTGTATCCACTATACCAGCATGTTGTCGTTTAAGTTTCTTAATAATGCAAAAAATAGCTCGTTGCTTGATCTCCAGTTCTATGCATATCATGTGTATGTACTATACATATTAAGTGCATGTGGTGTGCATATATTGTTTATGGTAGTGAAGTCATGGTGATGATGTCATTTTTCTGATTTCGAAGAGAGAGCTATGAGCTTTGGATTTTTGAGTTGGCTCAGATCTGTAAGTATATCATGTGCATTTCATGTACATACTATGGAGCAAAAAATAATCAAGAAAATTATGGAGGCAACACGTGGGTAAAAAAGACAAAATCACCCTTGAGGCACACCGGGATTCCTACGCGCATGCAACGGGCAATAACAACTTAATCATGGAAGAGTCAAAGGTGATCAAAATGGTATTCATTCAAAACTCTCTCATCACTTCTCATCAAATGCTCACTCAAAAGGTAACTCCCAATTATCCTATTTAAATTAGAATTGATTATCAAGTTAATTACAAGATATTATTTCACATAATATCTTGCAGTTAAACTCATAATACCACCATAAGTGGCCGGTCCCTATTCTCCGAATAGGGCCAGCCACTTCCTTATAAATAGTCCCATTTTCTCCACCAAAAAGCTAATTCATTCTCCCTAAAAATTCCCTAAACACTTTCTCTCTCAAATTCTAACTTTGGCATCGAAGATTCTTCGGCTAAAGCCCCCCTCATTCATCGTGGGCACGTGAGGCTCTTGGCCTTGATCTCAGATGTTATTATTTTGCAGGTGCATTTTTGTCAAATGAGAAGACAGCGGAAATTTGCATCCACAAATTGGTGCTTTCATTGAGAGTCTTGATTCACACGCTCGAAGAAGACTCTCGCATTCAAAGTTTCTCATTTTTTGTTCATTCATAGATTTTTCGTACGTTCTTATTCCTAGAATTTTTTATAAAATTCTTTGAATAAACGTAAAAGAAAAGTACAATGACTAGAAATTCGAAAACCACAACGAATGGAACTTTCTACGTTCAAGAATTTGGACCACGACGATCTATGAGGCTCAACGCGATGGCTAATGGAGCGGTACCACCTCCACAGGGCACTATCGTGGTAGCCACCGTAGCAGCCTTTGACAAGCCCATGGTAAGCAGCAAGCTTAGGAGCCGAGTGCAGCCCAAGTTGCTGCCCCAGCAGCGCAGGCCCAAGTTTAATGCACAGCCCAAGTCGTCCAAGGCTAACGCTAGCCAAAAGCGCTCCCAAGCCGAACCCAGGCCCAGGCCCAGTGCCTACATGTACCTGATGCGAGGTAGCCCATGCCAGTGGCCCAACTCGCTCATATGGCCCAATCTAAGAACCAGCCCACTCATGTGGCCTTCCAAGCAATCCAAACCAGTCCAAGATTGATTCAACCGTCCCGGATTCAGATTTCTTGACCGACAATTGAACCGGAGGTATTTTCATATTATTTTTCCGTGGATTTGATACATCCCAACTCAAATCTCGTGCCCAAAGTCTATTACACTTCCATTACTCAAGAAGAGGCATACCATCTAAGTTCTTCCAACCCAAATGGCGAACAACACTTGTTTCGACAAGTCGTAGAGTTGACAAGCTCATTCACGCAGCAGACGACCTTGGTAAATCAACTCTTGCAGCGTACCGAGATGCAGCGTGCCCCAAACGAGGTGTCCCGAAGTAGGATAGAAGTAGACGAAGAACCTCTCTAGCAGCGTCTTGGCAAGTAACTACTCGACCAGTCATAAACTGAACATTTGAGCATTGTACCCTCCCGACTGGGCCCTCGAGATAGCGTATACTCTTGTCTTAGCGCGTGAAAGAGCATGCATTATCGGTTAGGCCCACGGACGACTATACACTCACGGTTGGGGCCATACTTTGATAATCAACATGAGCAAACCTTCAAAGCAAAATGTTCATTCCCGGCTAGGCCAGCAAGGAGCATCCTCCACCTCATATCGAAGTAAGTAGCACGACTGATGAAGAGAAGCAGTCACTCAATCCGGTTCAAATTCAACCGGTAGTTTGCGAAAAACTCGCTCGCCTATAAGGAATGCACTATATGCACCGCAGTTGTGGCATAGACGAGTTAAACACATGGAATAGCAGCCTAGGCCAGCAGGTCAAAACCAGAGGCAGCCGAGAGCTTCGCTACCTTAACAAAGGCAAATTCAAGAAGAAGTAAAGATGTACTTGATTGAGTGATTGTGCGATTTCTAAAAGAACTACGTCATTGATAAGGTGCTACGACGGGACATTCCCAACATAAGCAGGCCACCCTTCACGGAAGAGATTGAGCAGGCAGAGCCTTTACGCAAGTTCAACATACCACATTTCACATTTTTCAAATGAGATAGAGACCAAGAAAGACACCTAAAGCAATACTGAAGCACAATGATCTTCTATCAGAACAATAACGCTCTCATGTGCAAGATATTCACCACCACTCTATAAGGCGAGGAGTAAGATTGGTTCCATACCGTGCTGTCACAATCCATCCGGAGTTTCGATGAGCTTTCTTTGGTTTTCACCAAGGAGTATTCATCATATCGCTCGATCAAGAAGAAGTTGGATTCAACATGAAGAAGAACCCAAAAAAGTTGATGCGCGACTATATAAATAGATTTAAATTAGATAAGGCAAAGATAGTCTGATGCAACGACTCGATAGCTAATGCAACTTTCTAAAAAAGGCTATCAGGAAACCACCTACTGCTACATGGTT